GTCCTCTCTTATGGGCCAGTACAGGTAGTAAAATAACTTCTCTGGGTAACTATCTGATAAGCTTTAGTAATACTGCAGTTGTAAAGACAGGAAAGGTTCTGAAACACTTGGCCTAAAAGGAAAAGGGAGGCACAGTTTTTAGAAAAAGATGCTTTTTTTTTTATACAAAAATAGACCATAGTCTCATTAGCAATTAATAAAGTTGGCTGCCTTGGTATAAAATTATAAAAGTCAAAGACAGACAGGTCTCAATCTTCCCAGCATTGGCACGTGAAGGTCAATGCAGGCAGACTGGACCGCGCATGCTGGAGAGGCCACTGCAAAACGTTTACGCCTGCCGCTTCCAAATGCACAAGCGGATTAAAAAAATTTGTTGGTTTTTTTCCTGTGTATTTTTTTTTCTTTATTTTTTTCTTTTTTTACATGAAGGATCCACCTCTGCACTGCACAAGGCACTCAGTGCAGATCCCCGGGCTGATCCCCTCCTACTGACACAACCACCTCAAGAGAGCACACACCGGAGATGACAAAAGCAGGAACAAACAACGAGAGCTCTGGGTACTTGGTGTATTTAACGCGGTGCCATGTAGAGCAGACAGCTTGCATATGAACAGTCGCAGGTGCCAGAGAAGGAGGTAACCTAGCAGCATTCCAGTTCCTCACCATTTGAAGGACAATTTGTAACCCAGTGGACCTGGGCCAGGGGTAATTACACTTCATGCCAAACTTTAATCCATGAAAACTACTGATTCTCAACCTTTGGGAGCTTCGTTCACTTTAGGCAAGTTTTCCCTTAAGTGTCAAACGCTGGCTTCAAATAAGCAGATATTTTCATTTGTTACATTCCGACATTCAGAGAGGCTAAAACTCGAGAGGACCATGCCGGGCGTTGGGCTTGCGGCCCGGCTCAGATGTGGACATGACAGATTCGGCATCGTTAAGTAATCCCCAAGTTCTTCAGCCACGAGGAATTAATGCTCGTCTCTGAAAGGAATCTAGTTGTATAAAAGGGAACGTAACGTCCAGGTGACTTTTTTTGCCCTACCCAGTCCAGATTAGTGCCAGCTAAAACTGCTGTTGGTCATACTCTGCTATCAGTTTTTTAATATGAGCCAGTTTGTTGTGGAGGTATTCGCAGCGGTTCTTCTCTTGGCTGTAATTGGGGTTTGTCTGGAAAGGAAAATGAAAATGCAGTGATGGAAAGCAATTCTTCAGAGCTCGGTGATGCCTATGCTGAGCCCAGACGAGGCTATCAGACCTCAGAGCATAAATATGACGAAGGAATGAAGCTGTTCTAGCTGGAGGAGTAGATGCCCATTTCGAATGGACCCACTCTGGTCAAAGAGGGCAAAGAACAAAATCCCTCTTCATCAACACCCAGCTCCAGGAGCCTCATCACAGGGAAACGAGTGCAACCTTGAGCGAGGCTCAGCCTAACTCGGAGCAGCTGGGCCACGCACCTCAGCTTCCAGCAAGCCTCACCTGCCCTTTGCCCCGTGTTAGCACCGAATTGTGCAAGTCTGGGAGCTTTAAAACAAAAGATGAACTTGCAACACAGAGAGAATCTCTTCAAAAAGCTCCTCAGTCCCTCAGGGACAGCAGAGCTCAGGGCAAAAGATCAAACCCCAGCCCTGGTGTATGGATGCCCCAGCCTGCCTCGGCATTTCTACCTCATCCAGCTAAAACCATAAATCTCTCCAGTCAACAACTGTTGCTTTACATATACATACAGAGACGTATTCTGCGTGCCCCACACACCAAAAAGCCCCGCTGAGCCCCGCAGGGGACTATGTACCCAAGTGATTCATACTAGAGACTGTGCTCAAACCATCCCCAACACACCAGCAGACCCCAAGACCTGGAGGGATCCCGTTATCACTCTGCTTGTGCATCTGAGATGCAAATTCTTCTTTCACTTGACAGGATAAAGGCACTAATTTGATGAAAGGAGCAGCCTCAACTCCCCACACCCCTTTTCTGATCCAGGAAGGGATCGCTTTTTGGACAAGCTCGAGCTGAACAAAGATCTGCTAGAAAGCTTCAGAGACTGGGTTTTTCACTTGGCAAGTACCCATCTCTTTCAGTTGCACTAGGGGCACCACCCAAAAGGCTTTTTTGTGGCCGACTTTTTACTTACCTTTTTAATTTTCCGATATTCCTGTAAAATTTGATCATGGATGGTCTAAAAAGGAAAAGATAGCCAATTATTTTTGAAAGAGCCAACAGTCCTGCAACCTACTGCAGTAGGCAAGCATTTTGCTGATGGCTCAACATACAGATTTTCCTCCAAATACCGACCAAAATCTACTCCCTCCATGACTTCCCCTGTGAGATCTGATGGCTAAAACCCACCTCACTGACTCCTTTCCTATACTGGTGCCGACACCAGAAGCACCGGAAGGATCAGGCCCAATTCCCCAGCCACAACAGCTACCTGTAACAGGCACTTGGGTTGTCAGGCTAACTGACATTTCCCCCATAGCTCAGACTAATTTTTCCCCCGAGATATAAAAATAATTCAGTGAGGAATCACTGAATTTCTCAAAGAGGGGGGAAGGATGTTTGAGGGAGGCAAGAGTGCTTAGTATAATAGGTGCTCTGTAAAAATCTGTTTATTATACTCAAGGAGACTTACTTTCTCAAGATAATGAATAGTTAAAGCTCTTTTAAAATCAGTCTGACAAGTCAAATAATGCTACATTATTAAGATCAAAGATTCCAGAGAAACAGATGACCCCATACTAACTCCCCTTCCAGCCCCGATACGCTACCATATGTGCAAATATGAGTTTTCTGGCTGGAATACGCTAATAGCTTCCAGCAGCTTTTGGCTAAAGACGCCAATTGTCTCACTGAGGCCTTTCCTTGTCAACAAGTACCATGATGTGTGCTCCAGCTTGAAAACGAAAGAACACAGAGCTGTTTTAAGAACAGTCTACAAAGCTGTCAGCTGTGTGCACGTTCTGCATCCACCAGTTTGGGGCTCTGGGCAAGTATGTTTTAAACACCAACCCATTCCAAACAGCCCCGCATACAGGGCGACTAAACCGAGCCGTAGCATTGCCACTTGCAGAAATAGCTTTTTGAAAGACATATTTCTGTTTCTACCTTATATTCTTCAGAGCCCTGCAAAAGTTGCTTCAGCTTGGCGTCTAACTGCGTAAACCGTCGAGTTATCCTCTCTATCCGGGCGTGCAAGTCTCTGTACTCGTTGTATTCTGCATTGAAGTCATTTTTGTAACTCTGACGCTGCTCCGAAGAGGAAATGGCTGCATATTTTCTGGAGGGAGAATAATTCAGTTAATCTGTTTAGTAAGTCTTCTCTCCAGACAGCGTGAATACTTCACTGCCGAAACCAGGCTGCTAAGTCTACCAGGTGACTGCATTTTAACACAAATACAGTCTCTTACGATGTCCATTAGAGCAGCACAGAGGTAACTGCCAGAATTATTGCCTTGACCTCCGCGTAAAACAAGACAGTGTTTGCTCCCAAAATTTCCTATCTATGCCAGATAGGGTGGAATATGCAGGTACAGCAAAGCCTGGGAGCAGCTGAGGCTGTAGGAGGACATTCAGATAGCACTGCTACAGCTTTTCTAACTCCTGCTGTCCCGCAGAACATGGAGTTCTGCATCTGTGCCAGACCTTGGAACAGCAGGA